GAACAGGAAGAAATACCAATTCCTAGACTTCGAATCTCATCCTGAAACTCATTTAAAATTATAAGTTTCATCTTGTCGGGGGGGTTGTTATATCCCTAACCTGTATAGACTAATGCTTACCAAACACCTTACTCATCATAAGCTCTCTCACAGTGATTTCATGAGAACATACCAGGCTCAGTTCGGGTCAGATATTCATCGAAGTGAGACGTTTACCAATTTTCCTCACTATTTCTAAATTCTTTTATTATAATTAATTATTCATTAAAAATATTGTGTAGTGTCGAATAAATCCTTTTTTTAAAAAGAGTTCGGCCTTCTCACTACTAACAGTACGCTTGTGATGTCAGTTGGATGGAAGCGAGAGTATTGTCGTCTGGTCAACAAACAAGACATCGTTACCATAAATCACACAGCTCGATAAACTGCCTCGTTTGTAAATCCTACCCTCCATTATGACAATGACTCCTATAGACACGGTCCGCTGTTCCTTGCTGGATTTCAACGGGTCGTGACTCCGATCCGGTGGTAGATTCAGCGAAATACTGCTCTTGCTAGGGCTGGTGTTAGCTCATTCAAGCTAAGCTGGCCAGAATAGCCCTTCAACTCCACCACACGCTCCAATACATTTCATGTCATAATTAATAGAACAGTCAGATAACGTAATCAGTACGATCCCCAGAAAACCGATATAATGTTTACTGATAATCATAATTATACGCTTACGCATCGAATTTCCAAAAATTTATAGACGGCATATGTTTGTGACAGATACGGCTAATTAGCTCCTGCCTCATTCTAACTGAACTGGTTTGCTTTTATAGAACAAATTAAACTTAAAAGTATTCCAGACATTGGTGTATAGTGAAATGTATTTTTTTAATCAACGGCGACTAAGAGATTTTTTATTGCCCTAGTAGGCAGACGAGCATAAGGCCCACCTGATGGTGAGTGGCTACCGTCGCCCGTGAACTTCAGCAATGCCAAGGGCAGAGCCAAGCCGCTGCCTACCGCAAAATATTTTTCATGAGTGTCGTTTGAAGAAGTACATGTCGTAGCATGGGAAACACCATGGAGAAGGAGCTCAATCCAAAGCCGGATGGTACGTGGCATAAAAGCCTACATACTGCATCAAGCCATATCAAACGCTCGATGGTCGACCGGAGCTCATTCTGATTGGCTCATTGGCGCCAAGAATAGACGGATGCACATTCGCGTGTTAACTTAACTACCCAACTTTTGTGATTTCTATTTAAAATCATTCATTATTGAGAATTGGATTTTGGATCGCTTTACTCATATTTTTTTTATGTTTTGAGTCATCATTTCTAAATCCATATTATTTTTATTAAATATTCACGTTATCTATTCATTTCGTTGTAAGCGCACTAAAATTAATCATAATATCGGTACTTTATGATCATGAATGTAACTTGTATCTGATTAGATTATATCAGGCGACGGATAACATGGTGCTCCGACGCAATAGCCAGGACTTTAATGAAAAAGGTATTTTTGAAGTGAAACTTCTTTAGGCGCATGAGGGTAAAATTTTTACAGATGTAACGTCACGCAGGTATGCAACGGAAGTGTCGAGCTCTAGACACGTCCTTACGGATCCATCAGATCCAATAACCTTTGCATTAGACGCCTTCAGCTCTAACACTAGGAGCAGGCTTAGGGACCTCGGTAACCGTACTCGTCGAACTCGACAAAGAGTTCGCCGTGCAACCTAACCCGTGAATCAGCTCGCTGAGTTTCTCGCCGGATCTTCTCAGCGGGTCGCGATTCCGATCCGGTAGTAGATTCATTCGCGAAGCAGCTGCTCTTGAGCTGTTAGGTCAATACTGTTAGTAAATCCCACCCCTCCTGGCTGAGCCTTTCCTCGCCCACCTGTCCTGGTGAAACTGGAAAGGCCTCCGGGCCACCAGTAATCCTTCAATCATAAAAAAAAGGAAGTGTCGAAAAAGAGAGAGAGAGCGATCGAGACCGATTGAGAGAGAGTAAGACAGGGCGAACGTAGCATGAAGCAACTAGCCATGGAGTAAGAGTAGGGAGCAAGCAAGTGAGAAAGATCGAGAGAAAAAGTGAGACAGAATGCTCAGTTCCTACATACTTTAAAACATACGTATAAAGTATTTTATTTTTAATACAGCGCCATCTGTGAGATTCGAACACCGGTGCATCCCTAGATACGAATGCACCGGGGGTCCTTATCCATTAGGCCACGATGACTTATCTACTATATCACCGATAAATCGCGAATTAATATCCGGAACTCGTTAAAAGTTAAAGTCATGATAAGAACCCGTTAAATAATAATGCTTACAATGTGTATACATCTAGTATATATTTGATATTCCACCGGAGCAGATTTCATCCATACTATAAAACTGCTGAGCTTATCGACAGTGCGTCTCCAGAAATATTTTCTGCCACGTACCAACCGGCTATAGAATGAGCTCCCCTCCACGGTGTTTCCCGAGCGCTATGACATGTACTTCTTCAAACGAGGCTTGTGGAGGGTACCTAACGGTAGGCAGCGGCTTGGCTCTGCCCCTAACATTGCTGATGTCCACGAGTTACGGCAATCACTCACCATCAGGTGGGTCGTATAATCTTCTGCCTACAAAGGCAATGCATAGGTACCTGTCTACGGAAGTTTGTGACATCAATCTGTTGTTGATTGGGGTATAAAAAAAAATGCGCGTTTTAAAAATTGCATCGTCAAATCTTATATCTTTAAACGAGCAATTCTTGTATATACTTATATATAATCTGAATCTCGGAAACGGCCCCAACGGTTTTCATAAAATTTAGTAAACAGGGGATTTCGGGGGCGATAAATCGATCTAGCTACGATTTATTTTCAGAAAATGTTGTTTTCTTGGTCTAAACTTAAACCAAACACTCATTGGCTTCGGGTTGCTGAACAACGCCATCTGCTGAAGTAGCTTTAGTGCTATTGTATCTTTAAAGCAGTTAGTTGCTAGTTGCTCTCAATTAGGAAAATAGTATTATTATTCGCCAGTAGATGTCGGGAAGAGTCATATTTTTCTGTTTAAGCGGCAATATTGGGCAACGCAAATGCCACATTCTTGTTATTTTCTTTCAATAAAAAAAAAATTAGTTTATGTATAAGTTGACTATCGATAAAGTTGATCATTGAAAACACGAATAAGATAAGATTTCTAAAAAACACAATTTATCATCCAGGTACTTGTTATTATAATAAACCATGTCTTCATTGAAACCGCGATTAATTATACATTTAAAAACTTGTTATATATTTAAAAAAGTTTATTTATATCATTTATTTATTGACTCAGATGCGTCATCAATGCCTTTATCTGAAATTCGCATGAAACTTATTTCAGGTGGACACTAGCGACGACTCAAAGTCGTGCGGGCGCCCCTCCAGCAACCACAACAGTCTCTCCGGTGATGTAGCTGGCGTCATCCGAAGCCAAAAACGCTACGGCACCAGCAATTTCTTCTGGTCTCCCGAATCTTTTCAATGGGACATTCGATAGGCTCTTCTCCGCCCCAGCCTCGGAGTTTGTTATCTGAAACAGTCAAGATAACTTCACTTCATTTTAGAAATCTCCACCACCCGACCACTCCTGCTTCAGGAGTTTTCTCGTATGTTATTTAACGTCATTTTTTACTGGTGGTATAACGTCTTGTGGGTCCGCACGGGTAGGTACCACCACCCTGCCTATTTCTGCCGTGAAGCAGTAATGCGTTTCGGTTTGAAGGGTGGGGCAGCCGTTGGCATACTTGGTACCTTGGAACTTATATCTCAAGGTGGGTGGTACATTTGTGTTGTAGATGTCTATGGGCTCCAGTAACCACTTAACACCAGGTGGGTTGTGAGCTCGTACACATCTAAGCAATAAAAAAAAATGGCTACCAACGATAGGGTAGGGCAAAGAAAAGTTTTAATTACACAAATCTTTTTCTACCATTTTTAGTTGCTCTAGAATCTATGTGGTTGATCGGGGTCACGGTTCATCTGATCTAAGCAATAAAATAAAAATAAATGCTGAACGGGTACCGGAGCTCATGGCCTACACAACGTGAGTGCCGTCACCCATCCCGAGATATCAGATCGAAACGTCGATTGTGTAGGTCAAAATTTCGACATTTGTGCGACCCGCAGTGCATTTAAGACCATCTCACGACATAAACAGAATAATAAATCCATAATACACCAATCAAGCCCGGTCGGCTTGGCTGGCCGATGTTTGGTTTTACTTTGAACCGATCTGTAGCAAACAGAATTATACGCTGGGCCAATCTGAAGGTTTGCTGAATGTATCATCGAAATCGAACTAGCTGTTTCAGAGTCTATAGGAAACATGCACACATCCACTTTTTTAAAAAGCTTTAGATGTATCCAGCGGTTTTTTCTCCATCGAAGACGTGTTTACTTCAAGCTAACGATGTTTTGGAAAGTATACGTATATTAAGCTACTTACCGCGGATGCGAACTTTGTGGCGACGATCCCGGGAGCGACGCAGTTCACTCTGATGTTCTCGTGTACTGTTTCGTTGGCTATCGCCTTCGTAAGTCCAAGGAGCGTCGTTTTACTAACACCATAGGCACCTAGAGGCTGAATGCACCAGACTATTACTATAAAAAGTGTTGCTAAATGGATATGAGGTGACGTTCAGTCTTTTCATCTGGATCCCGGCTGCACAAGAGTACAGTGGTGAAAGTGAATTGTTAGCAAATACCGGGTAGTTATGGGCGACGCATGCTTTGAGTCCAATTCGATCGCAACCACTATTTCGTATGAGTCACTCCGCCAAACCCTCCGCGCAGAATTCGTTCATACTACTTGGAACGGGGGTATGTATCCTGATACCTTTTTCGCCGCCAAGAATCCAGTTTTGAAATGAAATCGCCTCATTTGTGCTCCCCGAGGCAGCGACTTGGCTTACGATCTTTTTGTTCCAACTACCCGCGCTTAGGGGGCGCGTGGGACATATGACACTCGGCGGGAGGCGGTTCTATGCCATGTTCTCATCAGTAATCCACACAATTGCCAAGTTTAATGATGATCCAAGAATTAAAAGAGAGAAAAATGGAATTGAGAGATTCAGCGAATTCTACCTTTTTTGCGTAGATGAATGCTTACAGCGCATCTGGTGGAAGAACGTATTGAAGCCCGCACAAGTCGTTACCCTCATCCTGCCTATTTCTGCGCGAGACATTTCATACGTTTCGGTTTGATGAAGGGGAGAGCTGTCTTATAATTGAAACTCTGCGTCATTGCTCAAGATGACGACGGGACACGCTGCTCCAGGTATCCTTCTAGTGAATTAGAAGTGTACATACCTCCGTTGGTTGATACGCTGCAATCGAAGATATGAATACGATACTGCCCCCTCCTCTCTTGACCAGCTCCGGATACGCCTCCTTGGCCAACAGCCAGGAGCTTTTCACGTTAACGTCAAATATTTTGTCCCAGATTTGTTCGTCGGTCTATAAATAATTTATTACCAAATTATAACGAAAAAGGTAACGCTCCCTGGGTGCGATGACCTGCGAAGGGTGGCCAAGATGTGGATGAGGAGAGCCGAAGGCCCGTCTAAGTGACGTGAATTGGGAGGGACCTATGTCCAGCAGTGGACGACTATGGGCTGATGATGATGACCCAATCATTTATTTCGGGAAACTAACTAACCATACAGCCATATAAATTAAACAGAGCTTAATAAAAACCAAACAAATATCCATTACTAACACAAAGCATGAGTGAACGAAAATAATTGAAATTAATGACTTAAAGTTTACAAAAAGCTGACGACATAAAAAAAGGATATATAGAATTGTTAAAAATTATAGAACGTATGAAAAGAGTTTGGAACGGAGCATTAAAGTGTGAGTGAGAGAGAATGATAAAATAGAGAATGACAGAAAAAAGGAAGATAGCGAAGATTATAATATGAGCAAGGCGTGAAAAAGGTGTCAATTAATTTTTAATTATTACAATAAAAAAAAAAATAATATTACAATAATGAAGATTTTGAAAAAAAAGGGTAAAAGCGCAAAAAAGCAATGTCTTTTTTTATGTGCCACGATCCAAATTCTACATATATTTTGTAATACACAAACCACTCCTAAAATGCTTTTCTAAAAATTACTTTTTTATAATTAATCTGCTAAACTATGACGGAAGCCATTATTGAAGTACCAATCACCTTTACGGATTACCGAGCGGTTTGATTAATAACAAACAAAATCAATCGTATGCATTAAGGTAGGTATTTCAAGACACGAAATCTGGTACATCTGGCGACGGTCAAATTGATATCTATGATCAAGTGACCACTTAGCATCAAGTAGAACAATAAAAATACATAGAGTAAAATTAACTTTACTTGAATACGTTTCAATAGCAGATCGAATTAACAATTAATTTAATATTTTTTTCATTTAGCTGACACTGATCATATTAGAGCGATGTAATTATTTTTATTGCTTACATGGGTGGACGAGCTCACAGCCCACCCCTGGTGTTAAGTGGTTACTGGAGCCCATAGACATCTACAACGTAAATGCGCCACCCACCTTGAGATATAAGTTTTAAGGTCTCAAGTATAGTTACAACGGCTGCCCCACCCTTCAAACCGAAACGCATTACTGCTTCACGGCAGAAATAGACAGAGTGTTGGTACCTACCTGTACGGGCTCACAAGAGGTCCTACCAACAGTAATTACGCAAATTATAATTTTGCGGATTTGATTTTTATTACGCGATGTTATTAAATTGGTACCCCCGCCTGGGATTCGAACACCGGTGCATTGCTCAACACGAATGCACCGAACGTCTTATCCTTTAGGCCACGACGACTTTATTATAAAAAATAAACTTTATAAACTTGATAAAATTATTGTTTCAGCATCGGTTCTTGCGTGTGTAAATTGTCAATATGACCAGGGGTCTTGAAGTCAGCGAGAATGACGTTCAAAGATATATGTAATTACATTCAAACAAACATACCGAGATAATAAGAGCGTGTTCAAACTAAAAGGCTTCTTACATCTAAGATCGGAGCCACCGCTGGATTGATCGCGGCGTTTGATACCAGGATATCCACTCCGCCAAACTTACTTGTGGCCTGTAATAATAACGTATCGTACACTGAGTGACGCCTTGTATATATTATAATACAGGTACCCTCCTATAACACTGTAGATACTGTTATGCGCTGGGGCTCAGGATAAATAAAAAAATATACCAAAGTACAACTTAAAACTGTATTTATCGCTTAGAACACAGACAGAACACTTTAAAACTCGCTGTTCCAGTTCGAATAGTTCCGATTACTGACTGACTGCGTGCAATCTCTGCAACGCTTATATAGTCGATACGCCATCCCTAGAATTATCGAGAGCATTCCATACAAGTCGAGTATTTTGTTTCCGCTATCTGACAAAAAATGACGTTGTACTTCTCGAGCATTCTAGATGCTTCGATATTCATTCATCTATTCGGCGATAGATGGCGTTACTCTTACCGGCGTAACAATACGTGCCTACAAGTTCCGTGTTGTGAGAAACCGTGTTATATGTGACTAGAAGCCAGTACACAAAGGAGACTAATATTTTTGATTGTAACATCTGAAGTATGCCTGTATTTTATTTACCTATTATACATAAAAAATAAACAGTACAATTTCGGTTATTCCCATACATTGTGTGTTCAAGGTGAAAATTTAATTTTCAAAACCATTTTAAATAAAACTATCGTCATCGTGTTGTAGAAGTACCGTGTTATAAGAAGGTATTCGGGACTTTTTCTTTCCGTGTCAGAATTGAACTATGTTACCGGTTACCGTTACCGTGTTATCGATAAACTTAACCAAATGTGAGGCAGTCGTGGAGCTCCTAAGCACTAGACAGAGGATCCTGGATTCGAATCCCTCTTTGAGCCACCACTTGAAACTGCTTATTGAGATTTCATGAGACTGTAACCCGTTCTGTTTTGAGAGTACAGCCGCCTCATGTCTCAAACAGAGCGGCTACAAACACAAGCTGTCTATGAGCTAACTCCTCGAATACATCAAGCGTCTTTTTTAGGCTTTAGCAACGAATTTCTTGCACACTATAACATATCTTTCTACAGCCTAGGCTTCGCCAGAACGCTGTGTAGTAAGCAGCGGACGCGCAGTGCCCGGACATTGCTGACGTTATGACCAGGGCCTTGAAACTGCGATACTTTAAGACAAATATTTTTTGTACGGAAACTAGCGACATCTTGTAGCGGATTCCCCTAAACTTATATGTTGTTAAAATTAAGACATTTAATTATTGTATAACTTAACACAGAAAATTTTAAAAAAATACTAAATCATACAAGTCTTTATTTCTTATAGACAAATTGATTAAATTTTATCAATTTGTGGTTCCTGAAAATTCACAAAATCCTTCATTAAAAATAAAATATAGGATAGGTAATATGCTACCGCCATCTACAGGAGCAATGAGAAACTAATCGTAATGAAGCCATCTAGTGGCCGACGCCCGCAAACATTTTTGTTGAGCGCTTGAGTTGCTTATCTATAACAAATTTTTGTGTATTATCTATAATTATGACGGTCTGGTCGTTTGTCTTTGAATCATATTAAAAACCTTACCACTTCAAATAATCGTCTCCTTTGTTCATGATTGGCGACGTGACAGACGACTCCTTCCACTGTAATGCCCTCGCTTCGGAGGCTCTGCACAGCTTTCCCAACGTTGCTCTCTTTCCGGCTGCAGATGACTACGGAAGCACCTTCACTTCCCAGCCTCTTAGCTATTGCGTACCCAATTCTAAAACAAGTTCTAGTTAATAGGGCTCCAAAATACGACATTCTGAAGAAACCGGTTAGTGTAAACTGAGCAATTCCGATCCGGTGGTAGGTTCAGCTCTTGCTATGGCCAGTGTGAGCAAATCCTCCCAGGTCTGAGCCCCGTGAGCTTACCTACCAAACCGCGTAGTTGGAATAGCCCTCAAGACTGCCAGGGAGGAGCTGCTGGGGTCCCTAGATCGGGATCCGTGGGGGCGCCCCTACCGTTGGGTACGGGGCAAGTTGCGTGCCTGGGCGCCTCCACTGGCGCAAAGCATGCAACCCCAGTTGCTAGAAGCGGTTGTATCGGCCCTCTTCCCTGAGCGAGCGGAATACGTTTCCCCGGCGATGGCTTCACCCTCAGCCACA